CTCTTGCCCACCCTCTTTCCTGGCCCCTGACTCAGAGATGCCTCCCCTGAACCCTCCAGGGCCCTGCAGAGGGGAAGTAGGTAGGGGAGGAGGGGAGGCTGGTCTGAGAATGACACAGTGCAGCTGAAGATGGGGAGTGGGTTTAAGGGGTGCTTTTAGAGGACAGGGTGGGTTGGGAGAACAGTGTCCAGAGCGAGGGTTAAGAAAGACTTCCTGAGCTAGACCCTGAAGGGCAGGAGAATTGGCAGAGAAGCAAGAAGCTGTAGGCAGAGGCCGAGCACGGAGGGCCAATGGCACACGGCTCCCAGGAGGTGGTCTCTGCACGAGGACTCAGTAGGCAAGAGGACAGAAAAGTCCAGCGAGGGAGAGCATCAGGAGTCAAGCAGGAGTGGGGGAGGCAGGAGGCCCTGGGGTGGAGGCCTTGTCTGCACTGTTGCCTAGCCCCCACCTCTGAGGGCCGCAAAAGGAGAGGGAAGGCCGTAGCCACAGCTTGAGGATGGGGTGGCTGACCTGCTCCTCTGAGAGCTCTGCCCCAACCTGGCACCTGGCCTCCCCAGATCGCGGGCCTCCCCAACGACAATCTGTCGGTGGAGAACGGAGTCATCAACCAGTACTCCCAGCGCTGGACCCACTTCATCGACCCTCAGAGCCAGGCCAACAAATGGATCAAGAACATGGTGAGCCTACCCTCTGGGCGCTGCCCCCAGCCCAGCCGGCCTTGGCAGGTGTAGGGGGCAACCAAGTCTCACCGTCCCCCCTGCTCTGCTCCCCTGCAGGAGAAGGACAACGGGCTGGACGTGTTCAAGCTGAGTGACCGTGACTTCCTGCGCAGCATGGAGAACGCCATCCGCTTCGGCAAGCCGTGTCTTCTGGAGAATGTGGGCGAGGAGCTGGACCCAGCCCTGGAACCTGTGCTGCTCAAGCAGGTGGGCAGGCTGTGGGTAGGGCGGCCATAGGCCTGGACAGGGAGAGGTTAGCCCTTATGTGCTGATGGGGAGTTCAAGCCATGCACCTGTCTGTCCCACCCACCAGACTTATAAGCAGCAGGGGAACACGGTGCTGAAGCTGGGGGACACGGTGATCCCCTACCATGAGGACTTCAGGATGTACATCACCACCAAGCTGCCCAACCCGCACTACACACCTGAGATCTCCACCAAACTCACCCTCATCAACTTCACTCTGTCGCCCAGGTGGGCCCCAGCCCTGGACCCCTGAGCCTCAGCTTGGCCTCCACCTGCCCAGCTGCCCCTCTGCCACCCCCAGGCCAGGACTAAGGGTCTTTCTCCCACTCGAAGTCTGCACCAGCTTCCTCCCAGGCCTCTGACATTGCAGGCTGTCCTGGCCCCTCCGCTAGCTCCTCTTATCTACCACCATCCCCACTAAGGACCCCATGTCCAACTTATCCTGGGCCTGGTTGGAGTCCCCAGCCTTCTGGCCAACCCCAGCCCTACCTTCCTCTCCAGCGTCGCCCTTCCTGGGCCCTGTGCATGCACACCTGGGCCGGGCACACTCTGGCTTCTCACGCCCAATCTCTGCTTTCTCCTCTTGCTGTCTCAAACTCAGGCATTATGGTTTTTTGCTGGCCACCAGCAAAAGCAAAAAAACCAGACCCCAGGCCTGCTCTCCGCTAAGGCCTCCATTTTAGTGGCCACTGTGAACCTCTTCACAAACCAGGGGGTGAAAAGACCCTTATGACCTGTCCCTACTGGCCACCCACAACCCCTGCTGAGGAGGGTTGTCCAGGGACTCTAACTGGCTGGCCCCTGCTGGGATTCCCAGCTGCCACTCGAGGTCACCCTGAGGACCAGCCTTTTTGAGCACAGGCCCTGTATTGGCCTTGCACCTGGGTGGAGGCAAGGCCTCCCATGCTGACACTGACAAGGTTGCTGGGCTCTTGGAGCTCCAGGGGCACAGGTACATAGGTGAGCAGGCCCTTGGGGGTCCCCTATGGGTGACACTATGGTGTCCCTGCCTCGGTAGTGGCCTGGAGGACCAGTTACTGGGCCAGGTAGTGGCCGAGGAGCGACCCGACCTGGAGGAGGCCAAGAACCAGCTGATTATCAGTAATGCCAAGATGCGTCAGGAGCTGAAGGACATCGAAGACCAGATCCTGTACCGGCTCAGCTCCTCCGAGGGCAACCCCGTGGATGACATGGAGCTCATCAAGGTGCTGGAGGCTTCCAAGATGAAGGCTGCAGAGATCCAGGTCAGCAACTGCCCGTCACCCACTGCCCCCACCAGCCCAGGCCTGTCCTGCCCCTCCCACTTCCGCCTTCTGCTCTTTGCCAGCCTAGCTGGGCCTGACCCTCCCCCCCACCGCACTCCCAGGCCAAGGTCAGGATTGCAGAGCAGACCGAGAAGGACATCGACCTCACACGCATGGAGTACATACCCGTGGCCGTCCGCACCCAGATCCTCTTCTTCTGTGTGTCCGACCTGGCCAACGTGGACCCCATGTACCAGTACTCCCTCGAGTGGTTTCTCAACATCTTCCTCTCTGGCATTGCCAACTCAGAGAGGGCAGGTAGCTCGGGCCCTCATGCACCCTGGGCTCCCACCTGACAGACACACCACGTGTGGACACATTCTCATAGTCGGACATGCACATGTAAACTCACACCTGTGTTCACGTGCACGTGCCCTCTTACCACACTCACGATACATAAGGACACACGCCACTCCTTGCCTTCCCTAGAGCCCCTGGCTGGGAACACCAGCTGCCCCCAGGGATGCCAGACTGCCCCTGTGGCTGCTGGGAGCCTGTCTAGGCCAGGCCAGGCTGGATGGCAGGACCTTCTTCCTCTGAGCCTCCCCGTGCTCTGCCATCGCCTCTCTGTCCTGCAGACAACCTGAAGAAGCGTATCGCCAACATCAACCGCTACCTGACATACAGCCTCTACAGCAACGTCTGCCGCAGCCTCTTCGAGAAGCACAAGCTGATGTTCGCCTTCCTGCTGTGCGTCCGCATCATGATGAACGAGGGCAAGATCAACCAGGTGCATGTGCAACAGCTGGCCGGGTGGCCAGCCCAGGACTAGAGCCTGCCGGGCTGCCCTGCAGGGCCTGAGGGAGCAGAGTGGAAGAAAGGGGGAAGCCAGGCACAGGGGTATGGCAGGAGCAAAGGGGCAGAGGCCTACGGAGACACAGTCCTTGGTTCGTACTGGCCCTCTGGGTGCTGTGAGCGCAGGCCTCCTCAGAGCCAGGAGTGTGCCAGTGAGCAGAGATGACCCCGGGGACAGAGTGACCCAAGCTTTCTGCCTGCCTGGCCATGAGCACACGTTCTCATGAAGCCCCACAGATATGGAGGCATATTGGACAGCCTTGCCAGGAGAGTGACAGCCATCGCCATGCAACCCCTACCCATGTGCCCCGCACTGGGTTCCCAGTACCCTCTCGCCTGGGGAGCAGCCAGAGTCCTGACTCTTCCTACTTCCCAGCTGAGGAGACCAGGGCCAGGAGAGGCCGAACCCTTTGCTCTAAGAGCACACGGCCAGCCAGCCAAAGGCAGAGTGGGACACACACCAGGCCTGTTTCACTAGTACCCCAACATTCAATTTCTCTGGGTGAGGTGGTCGTAGAGGCTCCGCTGGCTGGGGATGCTCAGAGGCAGGGAGGAGCTGGCGACAGGGCCTATGTACCAGCCTTTCCACCCCCTGCTAGGGTGAGTGGCGCTACCTCCTATCCGGAGGCTCCATCCAGGTCATGGCCGACAACCCTGCACCAGACTGGCTGTCAGACCGGGCCTGGAGAGACATCCTGGCCCTTTCGAACCTTCCGGCCTTTTCCTCCTTCCCCTCTGACTTCGTGACGCTCCTCTCGGAGTTCCGGGTCATCTTCGACAGCCTTGAGCCCCACCGGTGAGCCGGCTCTCAGCGTCCAGCCGAGCAGGCACTGCGAGAGCGTGAGATCCCAGGAAAAGGTCTGCCCAGCAGCCTTCTCTGAAGGGCCACCCCAGGGTGCCCTGCAGCTGTGCCCCCAGATCTGTACTCCTGGGGCACCCCACTCTCCCCTGCTGTCCAGAATCCCTGGGGCCAATTGCCAGCTCTGAGAGATGTGGGCACTCTTGCAGGGAGCCCTTGCCTGGCATCTGGGACCAGTACCTGGACCAGTTCCAGAAGCTGCTGGTCCTTCGCTGCCTGCGTGGGGACAAGGTGACCAATGCCATGCAGGACTTTGTGGCCACCAACCTGGAGCCACGCTTCATCGAGCCCCAGGTAAGTGCCAGCACTGGGCAGGGCTGGCACACTGGGCTCGCCCAGATATACTTCCGCAGCCTTGGTCAACCCGGGACTCCTACCATCTCCAAAGAATCGAGGAGGTTCCAGGTCCCTCTGGACCTGCCTGGGAGCCCCGGGCTGCCCCTCCCTGTCCTGGTCGCGGTCTTGCCTCAGCCCTGCATGGTGCTCTCTCTGCCCTCGCAGACTGCCAACCTGTCAGTGGTGTTCAAGGACTCCAATTCCACCACGCCCCTCATCTTCGTGCTGTCACCCGGCACAGACCCCGCCGCTGACCTCTACAAGTTTGCCGAAGAGATGAAGTTCTCCAAGAAGCTCTCTGCCATCTCCCTGGGCCAAGGGCAGGTAGAGGCCAGGAAGGGACTTGCAGGGGGCCGGGGGGCCAGCAGGTCCCCCACTGCACAGTGCCTTCTCCTCCCCAGGGCCCTCGGGCGGAAGCCATGATGCGCAGCTCCATAGAGAGAGGCAAGTGGGTCTTCTTCCAGAACTGCCACCTGGCGCCGAGCTGGATGCCGTCCCTGGAGCGCCTCATCGAGCACATCAACCCTGACAAGGTGCCTTGCTGTCTGTCACAACCTGCCAGGACCTCCGGGGCTGGAGGGGACCCAGCACTGCCGTCAGGGACCTGGGAGGCTTAAGTGGGTTACTCCTGCAAAGTTCGCAGCCCAGCCCGGGGCCAGAGCAAGCTCAGTACTGACACACGTGCCACACATCCACTAGATTCATCTTACCAGCGACCCCCGAGTTACTTCCCCAGAGCCCCCAGCCGGGACTGACTGAAGACCCCCTCCCTCCCTATCTATAAAAAGCCAGCACTCACATGCACTGACCAGAGAGAGATGGAGAGAGAGACAAGGCGAGGGAGGAAGTACCCTCAGTGGGGCATGGCCATGCCGTAGCCCCTTTTCCATTCTGCATCCTGTCTGGATTTGGGGCACACACGGGTGCTGACCTGTTTTTCAAGCCGCTGGGGCCGGGGCTTGAACCGCACTGTCAGCCCTGTGAGTTCCAGCTCCCTTAACCACCAGGCCACGAACTGACCCAGTCTATTTATTCATTTAACTGATGGGTAGCACTGTGTGTTTTTTTCTTGACGTTCACATGCTTTGTGCCAGAGCCCAGACTCTTATATGCGGCAGCCTTGCCTGGTGCACTCCAGGGGTGGGGTCCGACTGAGAGTGAGTGCAGGGTACCTGGTAGGAGGGCGTGACCAGGTAGGGGCTCTCTGCTTACATGGAGCCGTGGCCCCCAGGTGCACCGGGACTTCCGCCTGTGGCTCACCAGCCTGCCCAGCAACAAGTTCCCAGTGTCCATCCTGCAGAACGGCTCCAAGATGACCATCGAGCCCCCGCGCGGGGTCAAGGCCAACCTGATGAAATCCTACAGCAGCCTCAGCGACGACTTCCTCAACTCCTGCCACAAGGTGGGACCCACGTGCTGCACGCCCCCTCCCCCACCCATGCATGCCCCTCACAGCCCTGCCCAAACTCCCACAGGTAGCCGAGTTCAAGTCCCTGCTGCTGTCCCTGTGTCTGTTCCACGGGAACGCACTGGAGCGCCGCAAGTTCGGGCCCCTGGGCTTCAACATCCCCTACGAGTTCACGGACGGAGACCTGCGCATCTGCATCAGCCAGCTCAAGATGTTCCTGGACGAGTACGACGACATCCCCTACAAGGTGCACCCGGAGCAGGGGCCGGGCTGGGCCTGGCCGGGCCAGGGCCTGGGGGGCATCCTCACTCACCCCGCCCCCGTAGGTCCTCAAGTATACGGCGGGTGAGATCAACTATGGCGGCCGTGTCACCGATGACT